GGGACGCTTTTGGGCCCCTTCGAGGTCGGGAGGACCTTCGAGACACACATCTTCAAGTGTCGAATTAAAAACGTTATTTGTTTTCAATGGTTTTCGCTCTCTTTAGTTATTTTCACGCGTCTTTCTGACTGCTTACTCTTTTTTTTCTTGGTTCTTTCGGTAAAGTCACGTAGAATGGAAATAATAAAATAATAAAAATAAAACAATAAAATAATATAATAATTATTTATAATAATAACATCATAAAAATACAACGTAATAAAATAATATAATAAAATCACATAATAATAAATAAGTATTGTTTTATTTTATTATACTATTTTATTATGTTTTATTTTTTATTATTTTATTATTTCCGTTCTACGTGACTTTACCGAAATAACCAAGAATATGAATCCCTGCGGTCACGAAAGCTTTAAATCAAGGATTCGCTATGTACGGTGCGAAGAAGTTCAACATTCAGGGCCAGGATTTGATGGATTATGGTGGGGGTGGCGGACGCTGCCAGACGTGTTGCCGTTCCTGCTCTGCTGCTTTGTTTACGTGGTTTTAACGTTTATCTTTAATCCATTTATCGTTTTAATTTTAACATTTTACTTTCAGCTTATTTATACCACTACGATTTGCATTTGTTTCAAGTGAGGTGTGATGTGTTTCGTATATTAGTGGTGAAAGCCTCTCCTCTGTCGTGGCCCTTCCCTTGTTGCAGCCTCGTGCTGCCTGGCACCCTGCAGCTCACAGATTTGTGTCCCAGGCGAGACCGGCGCACGGTCGGGCCTCACCAGTCCGCCTCCAGCTCGTGTCGTCCTGTGGTCCTGCCTCTGACCATCCCGGGTGCCTCTCTGCTGCAGCCTCCTTGCGTTGGCCCCTTGGGGGCCTGGCACTGTTTGGGGCATGGGCCTTGACCACCTCCTGCCAGCGGCGGTGCTGTGCTCCACTGCATCTCCAGTTTCGATTTAAAGCTTTCATGACTGCAGGGATTAATCTTCTTGGTTCTTTCGGTGAAGTCACGTAGAATGGAAATAATAAAATAATAAAAATAAAACATAATAAAATAATTCTCACGACGTTTCGGCCACAACGCAAGCAGCCGTCCTCAGGTGAAGAACAGGTCTGTCGGGGAGACAGCGTCTGACGCTGACAGACCTGGTCTTCACTTGAGGACGGTTGCTTGCATTGTGGCCGAAACGTCGTGAGAATAATTTTATCATGTTTTATTATTTATTATTTCCATTCTACGTGACTTTACCGAAAGAACCAAGAAGATGCATCTGCAGTCTTCACTCGTGACCAGCCTTTCTGTGGCTTGCCACCTGGCCTGCCTCGCCTCGTAAACTTGGCTCACCCTCGTACACGCGTTTTGGACCACTGCAGCTTAGTGTCCAGCTCGCCGTGGTTTGTGGCCTGCGTTTTTGGTGTGGCGGTGCAGTGTTCCCACTGCATCGGCCGTCTTCACTTGTGACCAGCCTGCCTCGCCTCGTGACCTGCGTCGGTGTGGTGGATGCCATTTTTCTTCGTCAATCGCAATTGGCCCGCTGCAGTTCTTGTCCAGCTCGCCTTGGCTGTGGCCTAGCTTGTTGGTGGGATATGACATTACTCAATCGTGCTGTACTCTTGTCCCTCTGGCTCCACATCCTTGCCCATTATTCCGAACCTGGAGGTCAAACTCCGCCATTTAAAGATCTTTCGTCGGCCACCCTACAACTATCGGGGTTTTAGGGCATGTAAGAAAGTCCGTAAACTCTACACTGGTGGCCTCGAATCCGATTCCTGTCTTATGGTCATTCTCGTGGAAAACCTTGATGATCCACATACCTGGTACCCGTTATAATAGCTCCTTTGGCTAGTAAGTTCATCACAAATGGCCATTTTGATTTGTTATGCCTCACAGAAACATGGCACCAGCCAGAAAATCATGTCCTTAACGAGGCATTACCCAGAAAATATGCCTTTCAGGACAAGCTCTGTTCTTGCAGTTCTCCATCGCTGATCTACCACCCTCCACCCAACTTATATTGTTGGCCTTCCAGTCGTTCGAGCATCTAGTTCTGGAATGGAAGGCTATCCAGCCTGTGACAATTCTGCTCGTGTATCGCCCCCCTAAGGCCTCCACTTCTTCTATCGGGGAGCTAACCGAGCTACTTCCCACGCCGCGTTCAGCCGTTGACAGATTTATTGCTGCTGGGTGATTTCAATATTCACATCGACTCACCCAGATGTGTTCTCGAAAGGGACTTTCTCGCCACCCCGGATTATGTTCATTTAACTCGGTATGTTAATTGCCCCACCCATATTCGTGGTCACATCCTTGATCTCGTTTGTCACCAACTTATCAATTATTGATCCTGGAATATACAATCATTGTGCTGTTCGATGAAATTTCGGTATCAAAAATCAATCATTCTGGAAATGTTTTCCTCGCCAATTCTCAAGTCACCACTCTGAAGTGTACCCATCTACTGTGGATACCATGATCCAAGTTTACAATGCTATATTAAACAGTATATTAGATAAATTTTGATTTAAAGCTTTCGTGACTGCAGGGATTCATATTATTGGTAATTTGGTAAAGTCATGTAGAAGGGAAATAATAAAATAATAAAAATATAAAACAATACAATTCTCACGACGTTTCTATTGCAACACAAGCAACCATCATCAGGTGTGAAACCCAACGAAAGAACCGAGAATAGTATATTGGATCTCGGTGGTGAAATCTTCACCCTGGTATAACGACGAGCTTCATGCACTGAAGGCAACTGTCTGCAAGGCACAGCGATCTTGGAGAAAATCTGGTCTTACCATGCACTCGCAAATCTTCAAACACCACCTTACAATTTACAGAAAGGCACTCAACCATGCTTGCACCTGCTATCTTTCTGCTACTCTCGCTGTCTGGAATAACCCTAGGATAATCTTTTTCTACCGTTCATAAGCTCCATCATTCATCATATGCTTCTCGTTTCTCTTGTGCACAAGCTAATGCTGAACAGTTCAATAATTTTTTTTCGCCTTTCTATTAAATATCTCCCTCTTCTTACCATGCTGCCCACCGTTCCAGCACCACTGCTGATATCTGATTTCTCTGTGGAAACAAGAGGCACCAATGAAGGTTAGGTACAGGTGTAAGTCAGCTCTGTGCTTTGGCTTCAGGACCCCCTGTTGTACACATCTGTAGTGTTGTGGATTCAGGAGACGCCGGAGACAGTTCTTGGAGGCAACACTATTTATTACACCACACTCGGCAGCACAGTCCCAGAACACTCAGGACTAATTCTAGATTTGAAGCTTTCGTGACTGCAAGGATTCATACTCTTAGGTTTTTTTCGGTAAAGTCATTTCTATTATTACTTTTATTAATTTTATTTTTATTTTTTACCTATGTGACTTTACCGACAAAAACCTAAGAGTACTCAGGGCGAACTCCACTGTCTGGGGAGGTACTGCCTCCGGGCTAACGTGCCCTAACACAGGACCACACTCAGGGTCCTCCGGCTATGGGTGCCTAGGGGGAGGCGATTCTAACTCGCCCTAGCCAGGCTGCGAGTTCCGACCACTGACCCACTGGACCCGGCCCTTACAAGGACGTCAGGCCGGGGGTTCCCAGGGTCTCACCACTGAGCCGCACAGAGTCCCGGCCCTGATAAGCACAGCGGGGCTGGGGGTCTCAGGGTCTTACCTAGCTGGTCTTCGGCTTCGGTCTTCAACTGGTCCCGATCGGCTGGGGAGGTGCCCTTTTATGCCCCTTGCCCATCGAGGGGTGGGGTTGTGTGGGATCCCAGATCCCACACCCCCCCACCCCCCCCCGTTGGTAGCGCCGAGGGGTTTAGCTGTCTGGGATCCTGAGCCCCCAGAAGCCCCTCCCCTCTTGGGCTGTTACTGCAGCCTCTGCCCTGCAGATGGGCCCCGTCTACCACTGCCGGTAAATGCGGCCCATCTCCGGCACGACACATCTGCAATCTTGATGTTGTTTTTTTGTTGCTGCTGCTGCTGTGCTCACGCAGCCCCCACGGATCTGACGTGTAAAATTGCCCGGACACTGGCTAAACGGGACCAGTGTAACGAATCAAACGAAACTCAAAACGAAAAGTGCCTTCTCCATGACATTATTTTTCAGCTAATATTTTGATAATATATAAATATAGAAAGTGTTGCAATGTGCGTGTGTGTTTATATGCATATCGGAGAGCGGTAGGGCAGTGGTTAGCACGCTGCGTTACGAACCCGGTGACCCGAGTTCGATTCCCGCTCAAGGCCAACACCGGTGACGAATATCTGAACCGGTCCTGTGGCCTCCCCTAGGTAGACTCAGCCTCAAGTGAGTACCTGCTGCGGTGTGTAAACATCGCCACTGGGGAGACAAAGCCGAGCTCTTGCACATCTATGAAATAGACCCATGATGGAACAATAACACTGGTCAACAAGAAAAAAACATTTTTTTCTGGCCTGGACTTTTGCAGCTGTTTTAGACTAATTTCAGGGTGCCGATTCCAAATCTGATCTCAGATTTGCTCTATCACATCTCATTTGATGCTATCGGCATACCCCATTTTCATTGATTTTACCCGAAATTAACTCTGTCACTTATGATTGCAAGTTGTTGCGAGTCAGTGACTGCTTTAGTGTTAAAATATGGTGCTGTATTTTTAGGATAGTGTGTTTATAATATCATTTTATGTAGATATCCACATTTATTTAATATTTTTCTTCTGCAGTTTTTATTGAAAATGCAATATTTGATATCTCAAAAACCTGTGGTAGACAAAAACTAATGCCAGATTTGGAATCAGCACCCCAAAATTACCTTAAAACCGTTGGAATACCTTATGCCAGAAAAAAGTGTGCTGACCAGTGTAATTATATTTCAATAAACATGAAGAACATTTCCAGAGCTCTATATTCTCTTTGCTACACGTTCATGCTGCATGGCCTCTGGAGAGGTAGTGGCACTCATTTCTCTGGGTCATTGTCCAGCAATATGAAGCAAACTGGAAACAAGCTTTGCACCAAAACAATGCCTTTATTGCATTCATTTACATTACATCAGGGTTAAACATCGTAGTCAAACCCACCCACATACTACACCATTATATGAGGAACTGCCGCGTATCGGACTTGAGGGCAAGACAAAGTAAGCTCTGTACAACGTATTTACAATGGGAAGACACGGAAAGATAAGTTAATTTAATAACGTTTCATTAATTATCCATGCTAAACCTTAGTCAAGATAAACATTCGTAACAAACCAAGAAAATACAATGCATTAAAACTATGCCTTATTTTCTAAATCTGGTTGTTATTTTTTTTTAGATTTCTCATCATTTTATTTTTTGCAGCGATTAAAATAAACAATAATCATTAACATCATAACACCCCACACCCCCCCCCCCCCCTAAGCGTTGGAGATTTATTTTGAACGAAGAGAGCGGATGCCAGGCGTCTTTGCCGGCTGCAAAGTAACACAACAACAATAACAACGCACGCCGCTGTACACAATCGAAAGGTGAATTTGAGTGTCGGGGTTTCCTTGTTTTATATAGATCAGCAAAACTACGCTTTCTTGCAGAAAAATAAATTAGTCCACGTGTAAACTGAATTAAACGTTAGTACCAAACCAAGTATTAAAAAATTCAAATGACGGATCATAATATATATACATATTAATTATTATTAAGTACCTAGACGAAAAGCAGCGCTTCACCAACGTCAACATGTGTATGATCTGTTATGTCTGTCGCCGCAATTATGAAACTACACATACAGCACGACTCCTGTTCTCAACCGATACCTGAAATTGGATATACCTTTGACTCTATAGCAAAACATTTTATGGCCTTTTGTTAAAAGTGAGGTTTGTGTTATTTGTATGCATAACTGCGTTTAAAAAAAAAGTAACAACAGTATTCAACATGCCCGCAATTTAAAACTTTAGTTTTTTTTTTCATTTCACCAAGACAAAAGAGTTTCACTGACAAACATTTCACATCGATTCACGCTGTCGTGGCTAACATCCAGCCAAGAAAGCAAAACGCCGGCTGCGACGCCGGAAATGGAGCGGCGAGCACGTTCGTATTTACACATCGCACAACAACTTGCCGAAAGAAACGGCGAAACAATTCCGAATTATTTAGTTTTTTGTCGCAAACATGATTTGGTGTTCAGTTTTGACGGCTTTTTTTTCATTATTTATCAAAGAGATATTAAATTTGCGGTATCAAAATATGAAACTTGCAAAAATAATAATCCTAAGGCTGAATAATACTTTAGCGTGCCCTTAACGCAGCTTTTTTGTACACTTTAACGGTTCACGTTTCGACCTTAACATGGGTCACACGTTGGTCATAGTGGGAGTCACCTCGGTAAATGCAAAACCCATGAAATAGCGACTGTCTTGTAGAGAATTTCTATTTACCAGACGTTTTGCTCGTGTACCATTTACAAGAAACTGTTTGCCGTACCACCAAATTTACACCACAACATTACGAAGGGCCCCGCAAAAAAAAAGTTGTATTGGCCCGTACTCACGAATACAGTCATACAAAAGGTTATCTTGTTTATTAATTTGTACCGTACAAGAACATTTTCCGTACCAAACTCGGCATGGGTGAGCATCATTAAACGCCCGTTTGAAGAAGAGTATTTTTTGACGCCACATCAGAAGTCATCTCTCTCACGGCACTGAATTTCTCTCCGCCGAAGAATTCATCTCACCCAGCCGTCGGCCGCGTGGCCGTCAATCCAAGAAAATCGGAATCATCCACAAGTTCTATCGCACAGGTCCACAACCGATTTGCCCGCCACTGCCGCGGGCATCGCAAACATCGCCGACATCACCGCAACAGGTTGCCCGCCGCCGGGTACCGACTTCCGACTTCCAAACTAGCGGATCAGAACGTCGCAACACAGACTGCTTCAGAACTCACCAAGCCAAATACTCAGGGGGTTATTTAAAGTTCACACCCTTCCATTATTTCAAAGCCACTATATATTCAACAACAACGGGTTTTTTCTTGCACTTCGTTTTAACTTTTTTGGGAAACGTAACATTGCATTAAGTAGCCAACGAGAACACTATCGTAGTGTGTGGCACTGAATTAAACATTTTTTTTTAAGTTGCATATAATAATTTTTAGCCAGTGTCTTCAGTCCTTGAGTATCTCCCCCCCCCCCCCCAAACCGTTGACTGAACGTACAATAACAAGATGAGAAATATTCTATTCTAACAACTATTGACACAGCCATTGACACACCATCGATGCATTCCATGGACTATGCTATTCGGGTCAAGGGTTAGGGTTAGTTATGAGCGCAACCTTTCCATTGCAGGAATCAAACTATTTTTTTTTTACGTTTTCTATAGTGGTACTTTCATACAAAATAGATTCAGGCAAGCAATAAAGAAGCACATTCAACTCTAAATTTAGCTTCCTTACGGTGCCACATTTTAAACTGGGGCCAAACAAGACTCCACGCAAACAAAACGTACAACTTGTTTCTTAAACTCATCTGTTTGTTCGTCACTTGTGGCATTTTATTCCCTCCCCCCACCTCCAAATAAGCTAATAAGACAAACTCGCTGCATATGATTATCTGGCTGGCAGAACTGTACCATTACATTTTCCGCTGTGTATTGCAAGGGGCGCCATGGTGGCGAGATGTTAACTACCTCGCCTGGCATGAAGGAGGTTGTGGGTTGGATCCCGACCCTGACACCTGCTGCTGTATTTTTGGAGTTGGCATGTTCTCCTCGTAGCCGGGTGGATTTTTCTGCGGGTCCTCCGGTTTTGCCTCCACATTTAGAATCAACGTGCGCCTAGAGCATTTGGCTGCTATAGCGTTCCACACGATGACAAGCCACTCCATTGATACATCATTTGTGGCCAGGTCGCTTCTGAAAAAGAGCTGTACAGCTCAGTGGGCCTTACCTGGTAAAATACACAGTTTAGTTTTAGTTTAGAATCCCAGCAGCATCTGTGGAACTTAGGCACATGCATGGGGGAGGCAGGGAGGCTGTACAGAGTGGGGGGTGGTGGGGGGAGGGGAGTTATTTTGTGTTGCATTGGTAGTGCCTGGCATCATCTCGCGGTGTCGGCCTGGGTCAGCCTTTCCGCCCGACTACTTACAAGCTGCTTATTAATTCACGTGTTCTTCGAAAAAAATACTGAATCGACGGCGGTCGCTGGGGGCGGCCCTCGTCTGTCAAGTCATGCGTTTCTTGGCGATTAATAATTTTTTACCCCCCCCCCCCTCTCCAATACTTCGGCCAAAAGTTACTTTGTTCAAGTCGGATTTTGCACACGAGCGTAAGCACGCACACGCGCGTACCCCCCGCCCCCTGTTCACAACGAAAGCGGAGCTACGCTCGTCTTTGAACGGTACGCGGATACAATTCCTAAGGAAAAGTCACCGTTAAACCCCTCCCTCACCCATCCCCCCCCCAAAAAAAAAATAACAGAGAGTGTCTTTTGTTTCGTCTACCTTTTAAGGCTTTCCGCTCCCACGAGGGAGCACAGTACCAGAGTCAAGGGCGGCCGATAACCCGAACGCCGAGGTAGTCCGTTCACGGGAGGCACGATTCCACAGCGGCCAGGAAGTGTTTCTGCATAACTTAATGATCGACGAGCGAACGACGTGAAGAAGTGACGGGGCGGAGGTGGGGGGGGGGGCGGCGAGCTTCCGCACCGGAAACGTCGCGGCGAGGAGTGGGGTGACGGCGGCGGGAAGGTGGGGGGGGGGGGCACTGGATGACAGCTGCTGCGACGATCGCTGGTTGACAGTAGTGTGACTTGCTCATAAACTGCACAGTAAAAGGCACGATCAAAAATGCATCATCGGTGAGGTGAGAGCTATCAGAGGCTGCCGAGCCGATTCCTCGCGTGCGGTCTGGACGGCCGCGGCGATCCGTGCACATTTTTTTTTCATTTAATCGGTGCCCCCCCCCCCCCCCCCCAACATCTCATCAGCAGTACCGCGGCTACGAACGCTTTGGGGCAAAATGTGATATGCAAAACTGCCGTCGTCTAGTTAGTCACCCCGCGCCACGCAAATAAACCGTGAAAAACCTTCACAGGATGTTCATGAGAAGAAGAAAAAAAAAAGCAATCGGAACAAAATAACAACAACGATTATCATAATAGCACACTGGGCTGCTGGCAGGGATCTGCGGGGTAGTACGATGCGTTGCACTACACCCACGTGTGCAGCAAAAGCCTTTCCCCTTTTTATTCCCGCTAGGTCGTAAAGTCATTTGGGGCAGGGAGTTGGGGCGGTGGTGGAGAGAGGGTGGTGGTGGGGGGGGCGGCTGGCGAACGAAGGACGATGACAAAAGCACAGAAAGGTCCTGAGATTCCCATTGGAGGAGCGAGCGGGCACGGCGTGCGGAGTTCCTCCCGGGCGGGCGGGCGAGACGGCGCGTCCACACGGGGACGCGGGTGGACGATGGCACTGAGGTCGGTGTGTTTGAAATGCACTACGGTAGGCCACTACTGGTTTTACAGTCAGACGCAAGTCTCCTCTTCCTCCTCCTCCTTCTTCCTCTGGGGCGTCTTAACCTGAGGTCGGGAGGAACGACAGAAAACGGACAGCGCAAACCGTTAGGGGGTGGGCCCGGGGGTTTGGAGCGGTTTCCGCGAACGGGTACAAAGCGGCGCGTAACGATCGCTCGGCACCGAGGATCGTTCGGCATCGACGTCAGGCGGTCGTGTTGACCTGCCGGGCTGAAGAGGGTGGCAAAGAGGGGGGGGGGGAAATCGATCCATCGGCTGGGATTGAGCGAGCGGCCCGGTTTCCAAGCGTCCGGCGGTTCAAACGCTCGAGCTGCCTCGGCCAATTCACGCGGAAAAGATGGTTCAGCGCCCATCATGGGGGGGGGGGGGAGGCGCGCGACAGCTGCACGGTGACGGACACAAATGGGATGTGCGCGTTGTTGTGTGTGTGTGTGTGCGCGCGCGTCCGACCAGTAGACCGGCGACAGGGTGATGGGTTAGTGAGCCAGCAGACGGGCCTTGTAAGGCAGGGACTTTGGAGCGCGTGTATGTGTGTGTGTGGCGCGCGTTAATCCCGACCCTCACCCCCCACCCACCGCCCGCCCGCCCGCCTCACCACGCCGCTGCAATCTGCAAGCCCCTCTCTACTAGGCGAGTCGCTTACATCATTTAGCCGCCGTGAGCGGTAATTGTGCACGGTGTAAATAAGTAAATGACGCCAATTCTCCGTAAAACGAGATATTTACACGAAATATGCACGCGAGATAAGTAACAAACAAACAAAAAAAGGTTAAAAAAAATTGTTTGTAGCACAGCAAAGGTCAAAACTTGCTGCAGCGCTCAGCACACACGCACGGTATACGTTTAAGGATTTAACAATCGAATGCGCTGCGCACGCATCAAACACAATTGCTAATCTTATTTTGAGCATCGTTGAGAATGCGTCACTTTAAATCAGACTTAAAAAAAAAAAGGTGTTTAAAAATTGCAGTTGTAAAAAAAAATTGGACGGGCATTAAAGACAAATCTCTTCCGACGACCAGACGGCAATACACTGTCCATCATTTTAACATCACACTCGGGAGAGTACCCCCGTCATGCAAGACACAAACCATTGCAGGTGTTCGTTGGGTGACCTGAATTTGCATAAAAACGCAAAAGTGTCCATGAGCAACCACAAGACAAACGCCACGCTGCCGCAGTGACAACAACAACGACCGCCATTCGCCAACTAAGCGACGGTGACGTCACCACGGCGCTTGTGCCACGCTGTGTGCACTTGAAGGCCACGATTGTGCGCCGCGCCGCGCCCCGCCACGCACTGACAAGTGGGAGGAAGCCCGCGCATGAGGTGGCCAGAAGAAAGGGCTTCGAAGACCCTGCGAAGCGCAGTTCGAAAGCTCGCAAGTCCGTAGCACTGCACGCGATCCCTAAGCTGGCATATTTGGAGTTTGCATGTTCTCCCAGTGGTCGCGTGGATTTTTTTTTCCATCTGGGGTCTTCCAGTTTTTCCCCCGCCACACTTAGAGTCAACACGCATTCCCAGTATTTGGCCACTATAAATTTCCACGCGATGATGAGCCACTTCGTTGTGCTATCATTTGTGGTCAGGTGGCTTCTGACAAAGAGCTGTATTAGCTCAGTGGGGCCTTGCCTGGTAAGATAAAAAATAAGTTTGGCTTTAGGTTTTAGGAGGAGGATGCCGGCAAATTATCGCTCGATGCAGACCGGCACCTGCGCCAACAAACACCGAGCGGTGCCACGTCGCTCGCTTGATGCACGTTGAACTTCTATCGCACCGTACGTAGCCAACAGTGCTAATCCCAAGTGCGGGGACAAAGGACAACAACATAAACACTAAAAAGTAGTTCTGGAGGCCCCACATTTCTCTCCAAGGGGATGTGGGAAGGGGGGCACACGCCAAGGAAGCGGAATGAAATAAATACCGAAGCCGCCGGGGACAACGTCGAAGCTCCCACGCGCGTCGGCGACTCCGAGGCAGCGACGTATATTCCACTTTTCCACAGTAAGGGGCTTGGCATAATCCGTTGGCACGGCCGCCCGTGAATTGGTCACAGAGTGGGCACCGGTGTTTGTTGGCAGCAGAGGGACGATGTGCCGAGCTCGACCCGATATCCGGGAGTTCAACGCGCGACCTCGCGACCGTACGAATGATACGTGCTCAGCCATTGCATCAAACCAATAACGACACATAGGAACGTGCACAAACGCGCCCCACGTAACCTGAAAAACTGGGGGGTAAAAGTGCTGTTAGCGAGCACCAACGAAGGCCGGCACGGCACACAAAGGGGGTGGGTGGCCAGCACCACACTCGGCCGCCTTTGTCTCCCTAGTGGTGATGTTTACACACTGCACTAGGTACTCATTTGAGGCTGAGTCGATCTAGGGGAGGCCCATGACCGGTTCAGATAATATAATCGTCACTGGTGTCGGTGGCTGTGAGCGGTAATTGAACTCGGGTCACCGGCTTCATAGCGCAACGCGCTAACCGCTGCACTACCACTCCCCACATCGACAAACACACACAAACAAGCGAGTACACACGCACACTTGCGCACAAGCCTATTCGTCACATCGCATTGTCAGCCCTTTATTTAGACGGGGACCCGCGGCTTCTATGTGGGCTCCACTTCAGGACACCGAGCGAGCGATGATGTCATTAGGAACATGTGCGTACGGGCGCACGCCAGCTGAAGCGTCGGAAGTCGGTCACGCGGCACGGCGATTATTTTTAAATCGCTCCATTCAGCAACGGCTCTTTCGTTATGCGGAGGACGAGCGACTCCCATCGCGGTGCCCCAGAGCGGCGTGCGTTCGGCGGGGACGACCAGGGAACGGGGGGGTGGAGGGAACGAAACTACAGGAGCGGGCGGTGGTAGCGGTGGCTACGCTGCTGCATGTGGCCACTTCGAATCCGGCGCCGGAGGCGGCAGCGAGGGTCGATGGATCACTGCACCCTGATGTTGTGAAACTCCCTTCCCGTGAGCGTCAAGGTGGTGTCATGCACCCTGGATCACTGGGAGAAGGCAGGACAGCAAGTTGACTCATCGCCATCTGTTTCCATCTGTACGGGGATTGAGCGTTTCCCCCTCAGCGCAAGGCTTTCCGGGTGCTCTGGTTTGCCTCCCGCGTACATTATACACACACTCTCTCATCATGAATTGTCTGAAAACATCCTGAAAACCAGTCCTATGACTCAGTGTTACTTTCCTGGAAATAGCTAATTATTATATGCATATGCAGTACTAATCACATTCCTGCATTTCCCATAAATATGCTAAATTCATTTTGATATGCAAATTCCTTTGTCAATGCGCCCAGCTTATATATATGCTCCAAGCTCGTGTGCTGTTTCATTCAGACTCTGTCGCCTCGACGGACCTGGTTTTCACCTGGGGACGGCTGCTTGCGTTGTGGCCGAAACGTCGTGAGAATTGTTTTATTATGTTTTATTTTTATTATTTTATTACTTCCCTTCTACGTGACTTTACCGAAACAACCAAGAAGATGAATCCCTGCAGTCACGAAAGCTTTAAATCGAAAAATATTATAAAGTTAGTAATTTTTTTAATTTGTTTTAAATATCCACAAATAATATAAGCGAGCAAGTGGGCGGGCGTGCGCATCTACACACGCGCGCACGCACGCGCAGAACAGAACACGGGACGTTGATGTACATTACTTTGGAAAGTTTCCGCGTTTGATTGCGGAGGCCTCTTAGCACCCAGTGCCCTTCCCAGCGCTCACGTGCACTTAGCCACGTATAAATAGACCCTTTGAGGTGTAGCCCATTGTACATCCCAGCTTGAACGAAGTGTTCTTGGAAAATCAAAGACATCTAAATGCTGCCGGGATAACGTCACGCAACTCCACGACAGTATAACGTGGCTAACGGAGATGAGAGTTTCAGCAAATCCAGTAAACGGGCGAATGTTGGGTCAACTGACGCTTCTTCGCGAAAGAAAGTTCTACATAATACGTCGACCAACGTTGGGCCCAACGTCGCGTGTTTACCAAGAAGCACCCGTCCGTTTATTAAACTGCCTGCGAGTACATTGGAGTTTGGAATGAAACTACTGCGAAGTACGGTGTAGTGGAGCCCTTCATCCAGCAGTGGATCGCTGCTACGACACGTCCTCGTGAAAATTGCACAATTGAAAAAAGTTAAATGATAACGACAGTAAATGTAATCATTTTCTTGGCTTTAATTTCAATCCACTGCTGCACGAAGGCCTTCCCACACAGGATTGTCAGCCATGGGCCATGGGGATGGTTTGACCAGACTTCTCCACCGCACTAATCCGTGCATGTTGATGAAGGGGTATGATTTAAACTGAACAATTTGTTTATTTTAACAAGAAAAGGTCCCCACTGAGCTACAAGTGGCTCATCACGTGGACATTTCTAGGAGCCAAAAACTCTGAAAGCATGTTTCTAAACGTAGAGGGGAAAACCGGAGGAACCGGAGAGAAATCCACGTGACCACGGGGAGAACATGCAAACTCAAGGCGTCACACGGTCGAGATCGAACCCACGACCTCCTGTATACCAGGCAAGGTAGTTAACATCTCGCCACCGCAGCACCCACGATTCAAACGGCCCTTCCCATTAAATCGGCCGGGCGACTCGTCTGTTTAAATGACATGACATGCTGCCTTCACGACTGGGGTCGGGAACGCGCGAGCTGTGACGAGACGTACGTTGGGAATTGTTGCGCCTTCATTTATTCATTCCCTCCTCCGCGCAGACAGCGGATCGATTCATTCTAAACGCGCCTCGCCAGTCCAGCAGCGAGCGCACATAGAGGCGCAGACCAAATAAGCACGCGGCGCGAGTTTCACTTACAATTTTCACTTCCAGCACCGACCAAGGTCAAACGTTATGAATGAGTGGAGTGTCGCGAGACTTGTAACCTCCGTTTAACCTTCCTGTGGACCCTCCCCCTTTTTCGTTTTCTGTTCACGGTCATTTTATCTGAATGTTCCATTAGGCTTAGGCGTTGCAAGAAGTCACATGAGGCCTGCAATGTGAACGTGCCACACACA